CCTGCCCTCAGAGAAGCGAGGGACCCTCCCAACTTCCCATCATCCTCTTGTGCTCGGTCCTGAGGTTCCTGTTGAATTTTCCATGGGGACATTAATGTCGCTTTTGATTTTTTTTTTTTTAATGCCAATGGTGCATATATAAGATATATAGAGAGAGGAGCTGGCAGGTGGCATGGTGGTTAAGGCTGACTGCAGTTCGAGTCCAGGACCTGGTGGCTTGCTTTCTTACTTTTTTTTTTTTTTTCTTTTTTTGAGAGGTTTTTGCTATAGGGCGCGTGCGCTCGCCAGAAAGACAGAGAGAGACAGAGAGAGAGAAAGCGAAAAATCCCCCCCAAGGGAGATGGCCATGCCGCAATCCCTTCTCCTCCATTCTCCTCTCGGGATCTCGGGCACGCACGCACACGCGCCCAGTGTGGGTTTAAGCCGCCGGGTCGAGGACTTGAACCGCGGTCGACTACGTGAAAGTCCAGAGACATAGCCATGACGCCAACTGCTGGTCCCTAAAATAATTCTTTAAGGAAAAAAAATACATAGGGAATGAGAGAAAGCACCCCCATGGGGCGTGGTCACGTCAAAAATCCCTTCTCTGCCATCTCTCCCTCCTGTCACGATATGGGGCACACACACACATATGCACCCAACATATTTTTTTCCAAGCCACCGGTGTTGGGATTCGAACCTGGCTTCTGCTCATGTGGGATCCAGCTGCCTTAACCACCAGGCTATGGAACCAATGTTCTCCCAGAGGTCCCAGTCCATCCTCCCTGTACCTGAGTGTCCTCAGGGCTTTGGCTTCGGTCCTGGCCCTCTCTGGATGACTCAGAAGCCTGCTGGCAGCTCTCCGGGCAATCCACGGAAGGAAAGACGTCCCAGGCAGAGGGAACAGCATGTCCAAGCTGAGGAGGCTCAGAGTTCGGAGGTTAGGAACCCAGGTATTGGACCACCCGGTTTTGCCACTCGCATGCTGTGTGGCACCAGGCCTGTTGCCTGCCCTCTCTGGGCTTCAGTTGTGTTCTCTGTGAAAGGGCCAGAGCTTGCCCCTTGGCGGAGTTAATTTCCTTTGGCTGCTGAGGCATTTTGAACTGGTGAAGCTCCTCCCACTCCTCATCAAAGCCTGCAAAGCTTTCCTAACCACTTGTGCCTCCTTGGAAAACTCCTATTCATCCCTCAAAACCCCAGTCATCACATCCTTGTAGCCTTCCCTGTCAAACAGAGACCACTGTCCCAGCTCAATGCTGATCTCAGGACTGGGGAGAGGTGCCCCTGTCCAGCTCTGTCTCCCCAAACCTAGGGGCTCCGTGGGGACTGGGCTGAGGGCTTAGCACTGGGCGGGCACAGAGTGGGTCTGGGAGCGTCTGTTGAATGAATAAAAGAACTTGGTGGAAGGAAGAGTTGTGCTGGCGGCTGGCGGCTCTGGGTGACGGGGAGCCTCAGAGGATGTGTGAGTTGGGATGTGGTTAGCGCCGTGGGTTAGAGGCGGAGCGTGGGGCCCTGCGGAGGCCGGGGCGGCTGGGGGGCCTGCAGAGGCCTGGAGGACAGTCCCTCCCCCGCCCCAGCTGCGGCCTTGGCTCCGTCCTGGGGGAGCTGATTACAGGCTGCAGGGGGGAGAGTGGGCGGGAGGAACAGGCTGCTCTGGGGGTCAGAGGGCAAGGCTGTGGGGGGGGGGGGCGG